TTCTAGGTGAGGTCTCACCAAGGAATTGTATAATCTTAGCATTACCTCCCTTGACTTAAACTCCACACACCTGGAGATATACCCCAACATCCTATTGGCCTTTTTTTATTGCTTCCCCGCACTGGCAAGAATGAGACTTGGAAGCATCAACATACACACCAAGGTCTTTCTCATAATCAGCTACCTTAATAATGATAATGATAAAATGTGGTAAAGACTAATATCTGTGACATACCATCCTCAATCACTGAGGGCTTCTAAATATTAAGCCTAGTAAAAATATTAATATTTGAATCTGAATATTATATGAGAAAATGATTTGACTTTCTCTTCTATCCCAAGTCATGATCTAAAATCAATCAGGCCCATTATATCTGCTCCAGGGAAAATGCACTCCTATAGCCACTAGGGGAGCTCTCACCTTCTCTCAGTTCTAATAAAAAATGTTATGCAGCCCAGCAAGCAATTCAGTTGGTTTAATTAAACATGAGTAAATTCAGTGAGATTAATTCACATATGCTCTGTTCTCAGAACACAAAGTTAATGCATCAGCTTCAAAACAATGTTTTGATTGCCAAATACTCAGTGTAGTTTTGTGGGACGACAGTATATGATTCAGTTGAGATCAAGTGTATTGGGGAAAAAACAGTGCAAAGAAACAAATGCAACTTGGATGTGAATCCTCCTATAACATTCACACCAACAAAATAGCTTCCTTGCCCTGCCAATCCCCATAAAAGGGCATGAAACTGCAGGGCCGTGTGTAATGGTGCTAGAAGAGGGGGCTGAGAGAGTGCTGAAGGTGCTGCAGTGCCCCCTAATGTTTGGGCCTGTATCTTAGTTTACTTACTAACACTAGTAGATATAACATTTCTTTTTAAATACCTGTAAGTATTATGACAATGTTGAAGTGGATAGAGTTTAAATAAAGAAACATGTCATGCAGTCATGGAAACTGTAAGGCAGCACCCCTTACCAAAAAAATGTTACCGTGCTCCTGACTGTGTACATACAGAAATCACACACATAAATTAATAAGGAAAGTCGTGAGAGAAGTTAAGAATACCCAAATAGAAAAAACATTATTATTATTATTATTGTTGTTGTTGTCGTTGTTATTATTAATATTATTATTAATAATAATAACAATAATGATAATTATTTTAAAATATATATGTTACAAAAATGATCATTTAATGCATCCTATAACATTATACAACAGTAGCATTGAGGAAAACACAATAAACAATTATTTTGCACAAACTACTCAGCACTAAAAGGCGCTCTTAAGTGTGCATAGATTCTGTTCTTCCCTAAGGACAAATACCAAATAAGAAAACATTGATGAATATCAGAATCTTGGTGAAAACTGTGTAATGGATTTTAAGCAGAAATTTAATCTTAAGAACGGTTAGCGAATGAGATCCATTGTATTCCCTGCACCGCCAAGTCACTCCCTCTCCCCATCCAATCTGTACTTCTCCAGACCCCCTAACCTCTACCTCTTGGCCTTCTACACTAGGCTTTGGTGGTATAAAATTTTTCATACTGTCATACAGTATATGGACAATGCAATTTCGTTATCTTGCTGCAGTAGGGCAGCTCCTATGATAAATGATATGATAAGTGCTAATAAGATCCACCAAAGATCCATCGAGGAACAACAACAAACTCCTTTTTTGTGGACATGGTGGAGGGCGATCCTACGGAAGAGGATTAGGGCCACCATGAAAATATTATTTGAATTCTAACTTTTTTCTCAGAATTCTGACCTTAATCTCGTAATTCTGACGTTTTTCTCAGAAAGTCAATTACTTTTTTTCTAAATTCAAAATTTTGAGAAAAAAGTAGGAATTCTGAGATTATAGTCAGAATTCAAATAATATTTTCATGGTGGCCCTAATCCTCTTCCATATGTTGCAGTCGTACTGTCAAATACTCATGGTCTCTGGTTTAATTTGTGTTGGAGCATAACCAACAATTACTAGTTAAGGGTTTGATTGGTCATATAGGACTGACCTCAGTATTTCCAGTGTACAGTGTGGATTCTCCATTTCAGCAAAGAGCAGCTTCATTCCTGAATCCTGCAGGTCATTNAGTTGGAAGAAGGACAGATGGATGGATATAAAATGCATATTCTGTACTCACTTCAGTATCTCCAGTTTACAGCTGGGATTCTCCAGTACAGCAGAGAGCAGCTTCACTCTTGAGTCTCCTGGGTGATTGTAGCTCAGATCCAGCTCTGTCAGGTGTGAGGGGTTTGACCTCAGAGCTGAAGTCAGGGAAGAACAGCCTTCTTCAGTGAGTCTGCAACCTGTCAGTCTGTAGAAATGAAATCATAATATTGTTTATACAGACACTATGCTGGCCTGTAATCAAATGAAAGCATAAAATAAAATAATGCAGCATGAATGTTAAAAAGGGGCAATGGCCATCTCTTGGGGGACTGCTGGTAGCTCGCTTAAAAAATACATAACATCCTCTAATGGTTACAATGTGTGGGTGCTTTGCCTCATTACAGGGGTATAAAATTAGTTCTTCTGTTGCATCTGGAGGTCTTAACAGGAGCTTAACTCAAAGGAAACTAGATGCTGTCGACATTGCAACAATAAGCCTCATTCATCAACATCATCCAAAGTTTTCCCTTCAGTTTGTTCTTGAGAAAGGTCCTATGAAGATCTATATGAGATTCATGTCATGTTCTTAAACAGCAACCTGTCAGTTCTTCCTAATTAGCATAGGCAATTGCCCTGCCAATCCCCATAAAAGGGCATGAAACTGCAGGGCTGTGTGTAATGGTGCTGGAAGAGGGGACTGAGAGTGCTGAGGGTGCTGCAGTGCCCCCTAATGTTTGGGCCTGTATCTTAGTTTACTTACTAACACTAGTAGATATAACATTTCTTTTTAAATACCTGTAAGTATTATGACAATGTTGAAGTGGATAGGGTTTAAATAAAGAGACATGTTATGCAGTCATGGAAACTGTAAGGCAGCACCCCTTACCAAAAAAATGTTACCATGCTCCTGGCTGTGTACATACAGAAATCACACACATAAATTAATAAGGAAAGTCGTGAGAGAAGTTAAGAATACCCAAATAGAAAAATCATTATTATTATTATTGTTGTTGTCGTTGTTATTATTTATATTATTAATAATAATAATAATAATGACAATAATAATTATAATTATTTTAAAATATATGTTACAAAAATTATTATAATTGAATGCATCCTATAACATTATAAAACAGTAGCATTGAGGAAAACACAATAAACAACTACTCAGCACTAAAAGGAGCTCTTAAGTGTGCATAGATTCTGTTCTTGCCTAAGGACAAATACCAAATAAGAAAACATTGATGAATACCAGAATCTTGATGAAAACTGTATAATGGATTTTAAGCAGAAATTTAATCTTAAGAACGGTTAGCAAATGAGATCCATTGTATTCCCTGCACCACCAAGTCACTCCCTCTCCCCATCCAATCTGTACTCCTCCACAGCCCCTAACCTCTACCTCTTGGCCTTCTTCCTCTTGGGTGGTATAAAATTTTTCATACTGTCATACTGTATATGGACAATATTTTCAAAAGCAATGCAATTTCGTTATCTTGCTGCAGTAGGGCAGCTCCTATGATAAATGATAAATGATATGATAAGTGCTAATAAGATCCACCAAAGATCCATCCAGGAACAAC